TCTCCATTCTCATTCACATTTTCTCTCCTTCTCTGGGGTCACAGCTAGTTAGTTAGTTAGTGGGAAAGCAAGAACCAAAAACCACATGTGGTGAGGCCAAGTTCAGCCAAGAGATAATTATCCAAAATCAAGTAGATTGACCACAGAACTCTTCTTCTAAAGAACTGCTCCCTGGGCACCTTGGCTCCTCTGCCAGGCTGTGTGGTCACGGCCCCTCAGATGCAGGTGTTACCTGATATTTGCTCCTGCTTTTACATACCCAACATTCATAGACATGATCTTTGTTTTGAGGCTAAGCTGGGTCATTGATCTCAGAGAGAAGCAAGTTTCCTCAACTTTTTGCTTCATGTTTCCAAAAGTTACAGTTTCCAGATCATGCTCTCAATCTTGGAGCCCCTGGATTTCATTCACAATTTCATGGGCTTTTTCCTTTTCTTCTTTTAAAAGGCCTTTGACTTTTATCAGATATTTAAAGAGACCTGTAATTTCTGAAAATCAGTCAAACCATCAGGGTCTTTTTAGGACAGTTGGATTGCTCATCCTCCAACCCCTCTCCACTTTGGAGAGTAACTTAAATATAAGTATGTGCTAAAGCACCATGTCATGTAAGCAGTAGGTGCTCGCCAAATACTTCTGACCCAAATTTTGCTTTCAAAGGGCTTTCCCTGAAAACTGCTTTTCCAGTCCTTTATTTACCATATTATGACATTTTCATCTCTTTTTAATTAGCTTTCCAGAGTGAGCTGGTTTGGGAATCTGGTCTCACATCTCTTTTTCTTATGCTATACAATTAGACCAAATTATTTTAATGTGGTCTTGAATTTCCTCTTTTTGACTGCAACCATTTCATACAGTAATCCCACATTATCTTCTACTCTTTAATATCATTAAATAAATTGGTGTCTCATTTTTATGGAGCAATTATTGTATCTGTTTGCAATGAATCAAGGAAATTTTCAACTTACATAAATCTCATATTTACTAATAAGAAGATCAAGATCTAGATGACAGATCAATTGACTTACATAATCACTTATATAATCACCAGTAATCACACTGTTAGAGGTTAACAGATCCTGTCCTAGGGCAAATCTTTCTCTCTCTCTCTCTGTCTCTCTGTCTCTCTCTCTCTCTCTCTCTCTCTCTCTCTCCCCCCCCCCCATTCTCCTTTCAAAATTGAGATTTAAGGGTGCAGAATTACAATTCCCTGCACCTTGAGCTAGGTAGTGGCTGGGTGTGTTGTCATCATCTGATAGTCAGACTTCAAGCAGAGAACTTGTTAGAACCAAGCACCAAGCAATATGTTCCAGGAAGGCCTATCCATAGGAGCTGAGATACCCTCACCTCTACATAATCTTCATGATGCTTCATCCACAGGTGTGTTATGTGACCTCCACCCTTGGTATCTGACTAGGCTCCTGGGTGTCACCAGAAGAAAACCTGTCTCATCTGATTAGTCTCTTCTGGGTTGCTCTTCATCTGCACCTTTAATGATTGTCTTTAAGCTACCCACAGCCTACAACCTCCATCTGCTGCATCCATCATTGTTTTTCCAACCAGTTCATTCACTTTCCCTGAGTGTTGTTTGGAACATAAGTTGAGTCAGTCACTGTATTTATTGTGCTGTTCTCTAGAAGCTCAACTTTGAGTGGTGCTGGTTCTTCAGCTGAAGCAAGAGTTGCCATAGGAACAGGTCTGCATGTTTCCTTCCTGCACAGGAAGTGGACCCGGGCATTGCAATGCTGTTTTCAGGGTTGATCAGGCTCGTAGCATTTGGCTTGCTATTTTGCTAGAAGAGGATAGATGAGCCAAGAGATATCATTTTTCTTTCTCTTCTTTTTTCTGTTAAAATTGTTTTTGCTTGGCTTTACTTCCAAATTATTTTTCTTCCTGTTGCCAATGATAGTAGTATTGACACTCAAAACTACAACCAATTTTGCCCAGAGATAATTTCACTCTCAGGGCACTTCATAGGGTTTTGCAAAGTCACTCAGGATGAGATCTGATGGATATCATCTTTTAGTTGTGCCACTTTGGAGCAATGAAGCCTTTACCTATAGGCAGGGGAGGAGTTACTTTTAGGATAGAACTGAAGGAAAACAGGAAATTATCTCCTTGCCCAAATATCTCCCTTGTTTCCCCAAATAGCTCCATTGTTGCCAGCCACAAGGGCCTGAAATTCGTCCAGTAGTCTCTTTCTCTTCATTAGGACATGCATCTCATCCAGCTTTGTGAACTTGGGCAATTCTCTTAACCTCTGGGTTTCAATTTTCTCAATGATTAAATGAGGGACTGGAATAGATCACCTCTAAGGTTCATTTCAACTATGAAAAGCTCATGCCCTAAGGGAATAATTTTTAAATCTATTATTTAGTCATTGACACTTAAGTGTGAATAATTTTATTAGATCTCCCTTCAATTTTTTAAACACAAAACAAGTAAATGTAAATGATGCTAGAAGAAGACAGACTCCAGGGTATACCCAGGTGAGGTCTTAGAGCATGGTCAATAGAAATCTGAGGGCGAGGGAGGTAATAAAATGGAGGTGGGTCCAGAAAGGGGAGATAGATAGAAGGGTACTAAAGACAGTTTTGTCTAGAGAAATTTAAAGAGTACTTTGTTTTTGTGTCAATTCAGAAAACCAGATGATCTTGACATATGGAACTTAATAAATTTATCAATAAATGTTTATAAAATGCTTGCAGTATTCAAGTGTTATGGGAGATTCAAGAAAAACACAGAACCTAGTATCTGACCTCAGGGAATTATTAGCAGTATTAGGTAGAAACCAATTAGACATCTAGGCAGATATCACAGAGGTCCACACTTCTCATGAATTACCTTTGAGGTATTGCAGGAGTCCAGGGAAAGATTCAATAAATGGGAAGAAGCCCATTAATTGGGCTTCTCTGGCAAGTGTTCCATCTGTCTCTTGAAACCATCACATTGGGGACTGTGCATGCTGCCAGCTTTGACACTAGCAAGGCTGCCTGGATTTGGGGGACTGTGATGATTTCTGTAACTGTTTGAACTGGGGCTGCTTGCTCATGATTCAGGCCTGCATGTGCTTTGTTACTTCACTTGCACTATGCAATTCACAAATGATTCATTCTTTTTTATCAGTTTTATTGTCACTAGGAGGTATTTGTCACAGAATGTAAAAATCTAGGCATGTCAGAGAAAAGGCTGGAAAGCATGATATTCTTATTTCATGAATATAATGAGGTGGAATTAGGGAGAAAGATCCTGGAAAATCTCTTACCATTACAGAAGTCCATTAGGGCAAAGATGGTGCTAACAGAAGCCCCACAAACATCGTTCATACCCACTGACTCCTGGCTAATGAATGATCATCTTTTCTCTCTGAAACAGATCAAAATGACTGAAAAGGCCCCAGAACCACACCTGGAAGAGGATGAAGACGAGCTGGATGGCAAGCTCAATTACAAGCCTCCACCTCAGAAGTCCCTGCAAGAGCTGCAGGAGATGGACAAAGATGATGAAAGTCTAATTAAGTACAAGAAAACGCTCCTGGGGGATGGTCCTGTGGTGGCAGGTGTGTCTGTATGGGATGGGGGTCAGGTGGAGGGTCCCAGATAAGGCGTACCTTTCGGCTATTCAGGAGCCGGTGTAAAGGCAGGATTACCAAGTGCTTCCAGGGTTAAGTGAGTGAAACACAATTTACATATGCAGAGTAAAGTTAAGGACTCTATAATTAAGTCTTCTTTGGAGAGAAGGTGCAAGTCTGTATTGAAACAAGCAAAAATAACACATAGGGAGGACTCATTAATAGAAAGAATTTCAGACTGCCACTTATTCTTTCTCTCCATTCTCATTCACATTTTCTCTCCTTCTCTNTAAAGAAAGATTATCATTCCCACTTTACTGGTAGAAAAACTTGGGCTCAGTGAGATTAATAACTTGCTTAATTCCTGTAATGAATCAAGTGCAAAACCACATTTTGAATCTCTCGTGCATCGGACTCAAAGTGCATGTTCCAGTAGATATGAAGGTCACCTTTCTCTAAGTTAACCAGCTGATTTGTTTCATAAAACTCAAGAGTTTCACCTTTTCTTGCCCTCAACATATTTGCAACTGCGTTACTAAACCAGACAAGTGTGCTCTATCCTTAGATTGGGGTACATTCATAAGTCTATTTCACTTTCAGTGCCTTAGAAATTACACTGAATTTGCAAGGGAAAACACAAATTTGTGCTAAGTCATGCTCATGCCACGAGTAGCCATCTTAATTTAATTTGGCATTTTAATTGAGCCGGAGAAGATTAAGACTCTACCTCAGCACATCTAATCCTTGACATTGTTTCACTGAATAGCAGACATGGGAGTATGAGGGTTCCACTGTGAAAATCCATCTATGTAAGCATCTGGGATGCAGAAAATAGAGATAACTGGAGCAATAAGCACATGAAAAATGCTATATGTGCTTTGTGGCCTGACAGAGTCCACATTAGCCTCAATATAATTGCTAATTCTCCATTTCACCTTTCCTATATAAAGACCCAAGGTCAAAAACAACATAAAACGAAACAAACAAGCAAAACAACCCTGCACTTGGTGGAACAGTGTTCAACTGGGAGGTGGGAAAAGCCCAACCAAAATGTTCTGTGCTGATGGGCTGGGTTCTCTTCGACCCCACCTCCACTTCCTCTTTTTCTTTCTCATTTCATAGACTTCTTTGAAGGAGCATTAGAGTCACTGAATTAAGAACAGTCCTCAGAGATCTTCTAAGGCAATGATTTCATTTTGCAGAGGATGAAACTAGAGCTCAGCAAGGTTGAGGCTTGCGCAAGGTGACACGGGGGCAGAATTGCACTGACTCTCTTTTCGAGACACTTTCCTGCTTTGCTAAAGCCGTTCCTGCACCGTTGCAAAAAAATCATTTACCTCTGCCTGTGCACCCCGGAGAGATTGCCAAAATAACGCGAGCTTTATGATTTCATTCTTACTTCTTGATAAAGACAACTGAAGCCACCGAGCATAGTGCCTACAAGTCAGACAACCTGGGCTCTGCCCTTTACACACTATGTCTTCTTGGGCACATTATATACCTGACTCTGTAGAAGAGTTTCCTGACCTGTAGTGAGGACTAAGCGAAATGATCCTCATGAAAGCATTTGGCACTATGTATGATAACTATTATAATTATTACCAGCAATAATAAAGCCAATTGTTCTTTAGATGATAAGATTAGAAAGTAGCCTATAGAATTTCCATAAAATTTCTATTTTCACTTTAGCAACTACCCATGAAATGGGGGTATGAAAAAAAGGAAACTGACATTTGTGACTAAATATACACCGTGCGCTTATATGGTGGAAAGTTCGTCAACCTAATTGTCCGACCTTTTCGTATATGATTTGGAAAATCATTGTCAAACTATATAAACCATTTATGGCTGGGGCTTTGGGAGAATACATGGGTCCCCAAAGATGAATTGTGAAATTTAAAATGCAGCATCTTTTGAGAATTCACATGAATTTGAAATACTAAAACAGAGCTAGATAGTCTCTTACATACACAGTAACAGAAATAAGGTAACTGAATGGCAATTTAGCTGACTAACTTCAGGTCAAGAGAAACAGCAGATAGAGAGACCATAGAAAAAGAAAGCACCTAGAGACA